TAAGGGCATAAGTGTCCAAGAAAATAGCGTAAATCAAGAAAAAGAACTTTATGGAATAAAACTATACATACATGGGACTAAATGGGTTAAAAAATTCATTCATGGACTTCTTGGGTTAAAACACTTTTAAATGGGATTTATCAATAAAAATTCCAAAAATGTATATGTATTAATTATAATCGAGCGGAGCGGTTTTAATGGCAAATTATCAATTTTAAAATTTAAGTCGCGGTTAGTGAATAGAGCGGTCCGAATTAATGCAAATCGGTGCAATTTTAACAAATTGAGCGGTATTTTGAACAGTCCTATCTCTTTGAATTCTGTGCTTTTAGTCAAGATTGTGAGAAATACTAGCATGCGGCCATTCTCATTTTGTAGGAGTGTAAAAATAGCCTGTGGCCCGAAGCCCACCCACGGCTCGGTTAGGCCCATGCTCGAGCTTGGCCTGGGACCCTGGACCGTCATTTTGAAGCTTGGCCCGACCAGAGACCTAGTGTTATTTTTAGTGAAAAATAATAAAATTTTTGTAGAAAAAATTAATAACAAAAACAAATGTTCAAGTCTATCCAAACCTGAGCCCAGGCCCAGGCCCACTAACCTGGCTTGAAGCCTACCCAAGGCCTAAATACCCCTGGGATTGGGCCTAATTTTCTAACCCATGGGTCGGCCCAAATTTTAGCGAGAACTCGAAAGGCCCGACATAGGCCTAGATGGGCCGAGCCGTGCCAAATTTACACCTCTATCATTTTATATCTTGTTTGTCTCGCATGTTGGATGTCCATTTATTACTCCCTTTTGATCTCAATGCATCAACATGCTGAGATTTTTCAATCCGTTTAAAATAATTTAAATGTAAAATAATGTCTCATTTAGGAATTGGCTATTTTAATAGCTTTTTAACTTTATATGAAAAAATATACAGAAAAATAAAAAAAAATGATGTGATAACTTATAGTGATTTTTTTAATTTTTTGACAAAAGTTGAAGGTTGTCAAACGAGGCTTGAATCTTTTGAAAAAAAAAGTTGAAAGTCAACTATCTTTTCATTTTGTCTAAGTAGATTTTTTTTTTTTTTTTTTTTTTTTTTTTTTTTTTTTTGGTCTGGTTTTAGTTATGTAGATTCTAAGATCTGAAGTTTTTTTTTAAAAAAAAAAAATTATAAAAAAATCAACTAGAAAATCACTTAAAAACAAATAATCTCACTCTATCTCCAACCTTTTCTTTTCCTCCTCAAAAAATCAACTATAATTATTTTAAAAAATACTCCAAAAAAAAAAAAACATTTCTCAAAATCACTAATTTTTTTTAATAAACCCCATATGGAGTAATGTTGATTCATTTAGGGATGGTTTGAGATGATCTAAATAAGTGTATTTTTTGACTTTTTGTGAAATATAAATTAGATATGGATTGGGTTTGAAGTGACGTGGTAGAAAAGTGATGTGACTTAAAATAAGATGATGTGACTTAAATAAGATAATAATTTTTTGACTTTTTTAAAATATCTCAAATAAGGCCTTAATCTCAATAATTTTTTTATGAACTAAATAGTCTTAATTAAACTTAAAAAGTATATTTATTTAATTTGGTATCATTTGAGTTTACCAAATTATCCTTTTGTGATTAATTTGCCCATCTTGTGTGATTTGGTTGGTGATCTGAAAAGGTGAGGGGTGCAACATTTATATTTTGTGTGATTGGGATTAGGGATGGCAATCTGAAACCGGCCCGATGGGGACCCGACCCCCCGATCCCGAATATAACGGTTATTTCCCGAAAAATACCCCCGATGGGCCGGGGATGGTGATAAAAAATAAACCCCCGATAATTTTCAGTCCCGGCCCTGGCCCCGGCCCCGAGCCCCGCCCCGTTTGTCCCCCGGATGATATATGTATTATATATATACTTTTTTATTCTCATCTCTATCTTTATTCATTTGATATATACTTTTTTATTCTCACCTTTATTCATTTGATCTACTCTCTCTCTCTCCATTCCTCACATCTCTCTTCCAGTAAAAGTCTTCATCTCCTCCACTCTCTCTCTCTCTCTCTCTCTCTTCCCTCCCATCTCTCTCTCCCTTGCACTCACTCACTCACCGTCTCTGATCTTTGTCGTGCTCACCGCCTCTCATCTCTCTCTCCCTCTCACTCACTCACCGTAAAGAATGAAGCCATGGAAGAAGCATCTGAAACAAGCAGATCTATGATGATTGAAGTAGATCTATAATGATTGAAGAACATCTAAATGTTTTTTTTGAAAAATCAGGATCTTTATATATATGGATTCAGATCTAATTTTTTTTTTTAAACATATCTAAATGTTTTTTTTATAGATATAGATCTTTATATATATGGATTCAGATCTATTTTTTTTTTTTAAACATATCTAAATGTTTTTTTCTGGATCTTTATATATAAATAAATGTTTAGTAGATCTATAATTTTTTTTTGGATCTGTGTGTTGAATTTGTTGAATAGTGTGTTTTGGATCTGTGTGTTGGATTTAGATCATCATGATCTATGTTGATGTTGATTTTGTTTTTGTTTGTTTTTTTTTTTTTGGCCGGGGAAATATCGGGGTCGGGGAAACCCAATCCCCGTTAGGGGACGGGGATGGGGACGGTAATAACTTTCCTATCGGGGACGGGGGGGTTTTTGCCATCGGGGATCGGGGACAGAGAGGGCGATCCCCGGCCCGCCTCGTCCGTTGCCATTCCTAATTGGGATAGAGTGAATCACGGTGACTGGGGGTTTTTTGGGGATGTGTAGTTTTATCAAACGTGAAAAACGTCGGCTAGGTTTGGTTTGTTTTTCAAAAAAAATTTTGAGAAAATTTTTTTATAAGTAAATTTTTAAGAGTAATTAAATTAAGGGTGATGTTAGGGAGCTCGAAAGCCTCTCCCCCGAATCCCCCTAATTTTTTTTTTTTTTTACCAAAAAAAAAAAAAAGTCAAAGTATGTAAAGTGCACAATTCACAAAACCAACCTTATAGGCAGTGATCCCAAAACCACACCACTACAGTTCAAAGCAGCAATTGCACTCTTAGCCTGCAAGAAAATACTGCGGCGGGGCTGCGACTCCTCATCTTCCCCTCTCTTCTCTCTCTCTCCCTCTCCCTCTTCCTCTGCGTTTCAGACCTGAAATGGAAGAAGAAGAAGAGAAAAAAAAAAGAAGAAGTAAAATGCCCAAAACGACGTCGTTTTGGGCATTAGGGGGATTCGGGGGGATAGTTTCAAACTACGAAACATTGTCCTTAAATTAAAAAAAAAATTTAAAAAATGTCTCAAAATTTTGTTTAATTACTTATGTTCTAAAATCATTTTCTCTCTTATACACATCAAATCAATCACTTTTTTTAAAAAAAAATTCCCAAAATAATTTTTTAAAACCATTTCTAAAAAAAGACAAATCAAACAAAATTTTATACTTTTTATTTTAAAAATTACTCTACAAACACAAACTAAACACACTTGTCATTTTTGAGGGAGTTTGAAAAAACGTTTTTTAAACGGAACAGCAAATTAGTATGCTACGCTTTGAAACGGAACAACGTAAATTTCATTCAATGTAAACCACCACTAGCAAAGTCAAATTCAAATTCAATTATATGGAATTACAGTGCCACATATAAATGAAACGCAACATTAACAAATATGGGACTCATTATGGATAGGGAACGATTTATTCGATCTGTAAAGATTATTCAACCCGTTCAATTCGTATACAAATGAACGGTTTTGTAAATACAATATGGACAGATGCGATTTGAAATATGGCATGTTTGCGATTGCAGGCGGATTGTGGGTTTAACCTGCACTCATAAAAACCCGTCCACACTTTCTTTTTTTCTTTTTTTTTCTTCCCCTAACCATTGATTTCACTCCTATATCCTACCTATATATTTTTTTCCAAAACAAAACACCATTTATTCTTTGAATTTACTCTAGCATTACATTTACTAATAGTATTATATCAACTGAAACTGAATAAATACTTGTCATATTATTGTGGTTACATAACTGAACTTGTCCTGGATGAAGTGTAATTTGAAATTTTAAATTCCTTAATGAATATGGAGTTCTAGTTTAGGATTTTGAAATATGTGCTTGTGTTAGTTTATGATTTGATTTAAGATTTTGAATGATTTGTTTGTATTTAATTTTATAAGTTTTAATTCATTAATTATTAATGTTGGAGCATTTTAGAAAATGGAGAGAAAAGGACCCAAAATAAATAATACAAAATGGGAAAAAAATAAGGCTAAAAAATAAATTTTTGAAGAAAAAAGTCCAATCCGCAAACCGCTCGCAACCGTCCGCACATCCCCGAACTCTATCCGCACAAACCGCAAACCGCACTGCGGGCAGTTGCGAATTGTCTTTTTCCCAAACCACATAGTTACGGGCGAGTCTAAATTAATCCGCAAACCGTTTAAATCCGAACCGCAAACAGCCTCGACTCCATTGTCAACATCAAATAAGACACTCTATATCACAAGTCATTCAACGTGTTCCACTCCTGCAGCCATAAGTAATCTGGCATTAAGCATGTAAACATTGTTAGGCATCATGTTAGTTTGCTACGCTCAAAATGGAACAAGCAATGCAAATTCCATTAAACGTAAATCACTAAAAGTTATGTCACATCCAAATTAAATTCCGTGGGAACCCAGATTGGGAGATAATTCCAAAATCAGGGTTTAATTTTAATCAAAAGGCAATTAAGTTGTTAAGCATGATGAAATCCAAATTGTGGGATACTTTCAAAATCAAAATTTGGGTCCGTTTGGGAAGTGAAGTCAAGGCTAAATTAGCCACGTCCGGACAAAAAAAGCTAATTTAGCCAAATGAAGACAAAACAGAAGCAACGTGTTGGATTCAAACCCTTTTGTGGTAAATTTACCAAAATACCCTGGGTCTTCCCTCTGAATCTGAGGCCCAACGCCTCACGACACACACGCACGACCTTCCTAGGGCACAAAACAAGCGCAGGAGCGATTAATGTATACTAGCGGCGACGACATCTAAGGCAACTTCGCAGAGGCGATCGGCACCGGAGTACGCATCTGTGGCGTCGAAGAACACTTGCGAACAGGTCGGCAAATAGAACGATTGGCTCGTACGTTGGCGGCGGCGAACAAGAACGAACCCTCTCAAACACCACCGATCTTCAAGTAATGCTTTATGGTCGTTCTAATTTCGTTTCCCTTTTCACGTAAATCTCTCCCCTGCTTCCGATCTCCTTAGGGTTCATGTCTGCAATCCGTTTCTCTGTTAAAGACAATTTTTTTCCAAATCTCGAACGAAGTCTGGACTCTGTTTTTTGAATATGAATGCTCAAATCTGAAATCTGAATGCTGAAATTAGATTTCTCAAATTTCAAATTTCAAAGGAAGCGTGGAATCCCTTTCACTGTTGTGACTCACATGAAATCTGAATGCTGAAATTACATTTTTCTCAAATATGAAACATGTCTGTTAAAGAATGGAAAGTGGTGTAAATCATGTTTGTTAAAGAAATGGGAAGTGGTTGATTTCTGAATGAAATCGAAAGTGGTGTAAATTTGTGAATGAAATCTGATTAGATGTAAATCTGTGGTGTAAATCTGTGAATGAAGTCAGATGTAAATCTGTGAATGAAATCACATTTTGTGAATAATTTCATTATGTGAACCCATTCTGTTACAAAATTGATTTTACTAACATTGGTGAATGAAAGTTGATTTGTTGTCATTGGCGAATGAAAGTTGTAAATATTGTCATTCTGTGAATTTACCCCATTCGGTTACAAAATTGATTTTACTTCAATTGGTGAATGAAAGTTGATTTGTTATCATTGGTGAATGAAAGTTGTAAATACTGTCATTCTGTGAATTTACCCCCATTCTGTTACAAAATTGATTTTTCTCAAATATGAAACATGCATTTCATATGTTTTCTCAATTTTCCCCCCTCATTTCTGGAATTTGTATACCAATTTTTTTGGAAGTTCTCTGAAAACTAACTTCGTGTTCATAACTCTGCCAATGGCTCCCTGTGTTATTTTTTGAATTTACAAACAATCGTCTCCATGTATCTCTATAAACAACAGAACCAGGAATTATGTTCATAACACATTCCATCATGTCTGTTAAACAAATTATTAGTTGTGTAAATATGTGAATTTACTCTGATTCTGTGAACAAATTCATATCACAAGTTCAATTTCATTTCTTATAATTCTCATAAATCTGAGAACAAATTCTGAAATCTGAAATCTGTGAACAAATTCTTATAATTCATTTCAATTTCATTTCACAAGTTCCAAAATCTGAAATCTGTGAACAAATCTGAAATCTGAAATCTGTGAACAAATCTGAAATCACAAGTTCAATTTCATTTCAATTCCATTTCTTATAATTCATTTCTTATGATTTTGTGAACAAATTCTTATAAATCTGATTCTGTGGATGAAATCTGAAATCTGAAACCAAACTTAAATCTGTGATTGAATATCTGATTTTGTTACAAATGTGATTTGCCACATAACATTGGTTTGCCATGAATATCTGATTCTTATTCTGTTACAAATCTGATTCTGTTCAATTTAATTTGATTTGCCATGAAAATCTGTCAATGCTGGATGCATTGTGATCTCCCTCTGTTGAATCACATTGCATTATGATCTCCCTCTATATTACAATAGACAAGTGTATTATGATCTCCCTCTGCTGTTCAATGACATTGCATTACATTTATGTCACCGTGTTCTCTTCATGTTTGTATCCGAACTTTTTTTTTTTTTTTTACTTGCATGTTTTCACCAATCTTGGCCTAGGTTTTCTTTTCTAGATCACCTCCACGGTGAAACCATTTAGTTCTAATAGGAACCATCCCTGTCTTATTCATAACAAAACACCATATTTAAAATTTGGTTCATGCTTCATTCTCCTTGTAAAGTTCCATATGTTATGCGGATTTTGACTTGTGCATCAGCGTATTCAATTCATGTTTAACATGATATATGGATAACATAAACTAATTACTTATATGATTCATTGTCACTTCTGAATGTTTGTAAATCATAGCATGGCTTCGTTTACCTCTACTGCAACTTCCAGTACATGGCCACGACGAATGTGTGCCTGTGGACATGGCCCCTGTGTTCTTAAGATTTCCAGGTCCACCAAAAATCCAGGGCGTCCCTACTTTGCATGTCCCCGCCCTGTGGTGGGTGACCCATTCTTTACCGGTCATAACTGCTTGAACATTAACAACCCATTGACTAATAGTTCCATCATTTGCACTCATCAGCCCTGTGTCAGTTGGATTGGTTGGTGCGAGGAACCAAGGCGAGAGATCAAAGACTATGCGTCACCCAGAGATGAAATTGTCATGCAATTACGGGCTGATGTCATAGACATTCAACAATCCTTGCATGTCCTTAAGACCATTGTGTATGTGATATGCATTGTCGTTGTCATTTTGTTGTTCCGTATGTAAACAACGTTAGGATGTTGTCAGTATGTACAAACATGTTATGAGGTTGTTAGTATGTTGGCAGTATGTTTTTGTATGCCTTTAAGTTGCCTTTGCCTTCCTTCACTATGAAACGGTAAACGTATTAATGACTATCATACCTATGTCCACTACTGAGTTCCATGGAGCCTGTGTATGTATGTTATTAATGTGCAATGGTTATATGCTGTCTAATTTAGCATCCTATCTCTCTGTTTGTTGTTATTAATGTGCAATGGCTTATGTATTTGTATATAACAACCGAATTTGTGATGGTAATCTTTTGTAACCGTACATTAGTAATGGCTTCCATACGTACTTCACCGCGTACCCAATCCAAAAGCAAAGGCATTGTCACAGATACGTCAAGCAGTCTTGAAGAGATACATAATCAGTTCAGCCACAAGGCCTCATGGGACAGTGCCTCAATCTGAGTTTTCCTGCAGTTGATTGCAAATGAGATTACAAAAGAAAATCGACCATTCCTAGTCCTCAGCCAAGCAGGGTACAAGTCCTTGGCAAGGAAATTTGAGAAAAAAAAATGAAGAAAATATGGCCTCAAACAGTTGAAGAATAAGTACATGGGTTTGAAAAAAGAGTGGCAAGCGTGGACAAAGTTGATGGATTCAAGCAAAGAAGTGTCAGGGATAGGGTTTGACTGTGACACCGATATGTTTCAGGCACCTGAGGAGTGGTGGGACAAGATAGAATCGGTAAGTACATGTACAAACAAGTTTCATATTTGTCTATTACAAGTACATTTTTAACCTTTTTAGTTAACTTTTAATTAATTATATAAAATGTAACGTCTTTCTCTTTCATATATCTCTCTTTTTGCAGATAAACAAGGTGTGTGCCAAGTTCAGGAAAAAAACCTTGGAACATCGTGACTTGATAGAGACGGTCTTCATGAGGGCATCAGCTACTGGTAAGCACCATTGGACCCCGGGAGAGAAACTTCCTGAAGCCGCTGATGACTCGTCTGATTCTGTGCATAGTTTGGGAGCCCAGCCATTTGCTGATTCGATACTCGCAGGAGTACAGGATGTGGATTCAGATTCTTCACTGGAGGCTGTTCCGATTGAGAAGGGGAAAAGGAGAAAGACGCCATCAACAAATGTTTCAAAGTCGAAGAAGGCAACAAGTGGAGCGTTAGTTATTGCAGAAAGCATGAACAATCTAATAGATGTGGTGCGTACGAAGAATCAGCAGGTTACGGTGAGGCACCTCATAGGCAACGAATCGTTGCACACTATTTCGGTGTGCATGCATTGCCTGACGACTATTCCAGCCTTGATTGGTACACTGCTATTCCATTTCGCCTCGACACTTATGGATAACGCAGATTACTGGGAGGTGATGATGTGCCAGCCTGATGATGACCACATCATAGGGTGGCTTACACAAAAGCAGCTCTAGTGTACTGCGTCAGCGCCGTTTGCGAACCTGTTTGGGGCTCGCCAGATGTGATGTAGCGGTGTTAGGATTGTTGAAGATGCCTGCCCTTCTCTTGCTTTTGAAAACTTTTACTTATGTTATTGTTGGCACTGTATTAAAACAGGATGGTTGTGTTTGCATGTTTTTTATTTTTTTCTTCCTTGTTGTTTTTTTTCCTTGCTAGCTATGGTGAACAAAACTTATAGTTAAGTTTGTCGTAGACGGAATAGAAGCATGGTTGTGCATGTTTTTTGGGAACGGAGTGGGATGCTTCTGTTTTAATTAAATCTATGTGAATGAAATGCGCATAATCGGTTTTCTTACTAGCTTTTGTTCTGTCAAGTATTTTGCGAAGGAAACTGTTAGTTTAGTTTGACGTCATTTTTTATGGTTTTTACCACCATGGTCCTCCTGTAAACAATAACGACCAGGTTCACAATTTGTTCAATTCATATCATTATGCGTTAGTAATGACATTGGTGACGGCATACACATATTCATTAAAAAAAATGTCGGCATTCTTTAATTGCAAACTGTTACTTAATTTCAGTCAATGAATCATGTGCAAATTGATTGAAACAGTGCCACTCTTATAGGTTTCGCATCAACGAAGACGTGATGAATCCCTGAAATAGGAGCAACAATGACGATTTATGGAAATGCTTAATCAAATGGCGGTACAGTTGCAACAAGAACACAACTGGACATTTCTACAAGCATGCCAGTATGCGACAGAATGGTACGAAAAGCACATGGCTAAAACGCCATGTCGCACTTCAATATTGACCGGGCACACATGGATATGCGAACTATATGCGGGCCATATGGGTCGATTTGAGGAAAATGTTTGCATGCCGAAGGACGTTTTTGCCGCTTTGTGTGAGACATTAGTAAATGATTTTGGGTTACAAGTACCGCAACGTCCACATGGCTTAGCTGTTGAAGAAAGCGTTGCAATGTTTCTCCACGTGTTGCAAGGGATGCAAAATTGACAAATCCAAGAACGTTTCCAACATTTGGGGGAGACTGTGTCTCGGCACGTGCATAACGTATTAACTTCCATGAAAGAGTTCACTGTTGTTCATTGTCAGCCTACATACAGTCAGCATCGTATACATCCATACGTGCAGTCTGGACAGAAATACCTACCGTTCAAGGTAATACTAAAAAACATTATTGACAAATAACTGAGTGTAGTTATTTTGTTTTTATTATTAACTGGACGTGACGTATGAAAAAACATCATTACTTGTTACCCGTTTAAGAAAAAAAAGAATTGGATTGTTTGCAGGACTGTATTGGAGCAATAGACGGAACACATGTAAGTGCATGGGTTACGGGGCCAGATACGGCAACATATTTCGGTAGGAAATACTATCACACGCAAAATATCATGGCCGCAGTCGATTTTGACACGTGTTTCATCTTCATTTCGTGCGGATGGGAAGGAAGTATGCATGATAGTCGCATCTTCAACGAGATACTAACAAATGACCATGTCCCATTTTCATATCCTGACGAAGGTAACACAGTGCCATGAATTCTGCATTGATGGGGCTATAATTTTTTGTCATGCAGCGTTACTTGAAAATGATTTAAACAATGTTTGTTTTTGGTGTCATACATTGTCGTCCTGTCTGTAGGCAAATATTATCTTGTCGATTCTGGCTATCCAAACCGGATAAGTTACTTAGCACCATTCAGAGGCAGCCGTTACCACCAACAAGAATTCCGACGTATTCCACGGAACAGTACGGCAAACACGCCAAGGGAATTATTTAACAAAGTTCACTCGCCGTTACGCAGTGTGGTGGAACACACTTTCGGTGCCTGAAAAAATCGATGGGGGTTTATTCGAGACATGCCTCGGTATGACTTTGCAAATGTGCAAGTTCAGTTAGTTGGTGCGTCAATGGCATTACATAATTATATACGGCGAAACACAGGTAATCCAACAACTGTTCATCCAATCTATGACGATGAAGAGGCTATGACAATAGTAAATGCCATACCAGAAGTTGAACATGACGAGAATAGTTTAATGGTTGAGGACCCGTATATGGCATTGGTGCGCCTTCACATACACGACAAGTCATGTTACATGCGTAATAACAGAACGTTAGGAAATATATAATAGTTGACCTAATTTTCGTAGGGTTGTAACATTGGTAACACACGTGGAACATACTGTATTCAAATATATTATCATGTAACCTATGTATGTGTTTACACGGGAATATACCCCATTTCAGTTGGTGACGTGCCTAACTTTGAAAAACCAAAAACCACAGAAAAAAGTCTTTTCGAAAAAGAAAACAGGGTGAAACTGAAGAGGCTATGACAATAGTAAATGCCATACCAGAAGTTGAACATGACGAGAATAGTTTAATGGTCGGGGATGAGGACCCGTATATGGCATTGGTGCGCCTTCGCATACACGACAAGTCATGTTACATGCGTAATAACAGAACGTTAGGAAATATATAATAGTTGACCTAATTTTCGTAGGGTTGTAACATTGGTAACACACGTGGAACATACTGTATTCAAATATATTATCATGTAACCTATGTATGTGTTTACACGGGAATATACCCCATTTCAGTTGGTGACGTGCCTAACTTTGAAAAACCAAAAACCACAGAAAAAAGTCTTTTCGAAAAAGAAAACAGGGTGAAACAAATACGAAAAAAAATAAAATAAAAAATAAAGCGAGATTATCATATGCGACGTCAAGTGAAATCATAAAAACACCAGTTGAAAATAACAAAAAACACAAAACAGACCTCATTTTTTGTCATGTGCCACGGCAATATATGGCGTTTCACATCATTTTAAATAAAAATATAAAAAGAAAAATTAGCATTTGCCACGTAATTTATAAATAAATAAAACACATGAAACCCCATTTTTTAAATATATATACAAATTAATGTATACAAATTTTTTTTTCACAAAACCATAAATTTAAAAAAAGGAACGACAAAAATATGGCTCATCCAAAAAATAAAAAATAAAAAAACAAAAAAACAGAAATTAGCATTTTATGTAATTTACAAATACATAAAACACATTAAACCCCATTTTTGAAATACAAATTAATGTATACAAAAAAACAAAATGACAAAAACGTAAATTAAAAAAAAAAGAACGACCAAAATACGGCTCATCCAAACAAAAACAAAAATAAAAACATAAAAACAGAAATTAGCATTTACCACGTAATTTACAAATAAATAAAACACATGAAAACCCATTTGTCAAATATAAAACCAAATTAATGTATACAACAAAAAAAATTACAAAAACGTAAATTAAAAAAAAAAACCGACAAAAATACGCCTCATCCAAAAAAAAAAAAGAAAAAAAAAACTAAAAAACAAAAATTAGCATTTGCCACGTAATTTACAAATAAATAAAACACATGAAAACCCATTAATTTGAAATATAAAAACAAATTAATGTGTACAAATAAAAAAATGACAAAAAACGTAAATTAAAAAAAAATTACGACAAAAATATGCCTCATTCAAAAATATTTAAAAAAAAACATAAAAACATAAATTACCATTCGCCACGTAATTTACAAATAAATAAAACACATGAAAACTCATTTTTGACAAATTAAAAAAAGAATTTGTATACCAATAAAAATTAAAGAACAAGAACTAATTAATGTATAAAAAAAGAAAAATGACAAAAACATAAATTTAAAAAAAAAATCAAAATACGGCAAATCCAAACCCAAAAAAAAAAAAAAAAATCAGTCCAAACAATCTGACGTGGAGGACTAACAAATGCAATGAGTTGACATGTAAACCTATCGGGGGCAGTTTGGTAATTGAACAAGAAGACACCTCACCAAAAGCCAAAAAAGCCAAAAAGTTCTTCCTAAATCAGGCTTTTTAGTCCCAGGCTAAAATAGCCAAAAAGCCAACCCACTTACCAAACGGAGGCTTTAAATTACATCAGAAGGTGATATGTGATTGCTGTAACTATTGAAAAATAAAAAGTTTGGAATGGTTAATTTCAATTTTTAATTGTAATTATAATGAGTGTGGTTAATTTTTATTTTTATTTGTATGGGTGTAACATATCTATTCTTATTTGTATTAGTGTTCTAAAAACCTTGGTGTAATTGTAACGCGTGTGGTTAATTTCAATTCTTATTTCACATTGGAGTTTTAGTGTATTATATTGATTAGAGTGTTATGTTTTAAAAAGTACATTAATGAGTTTTTTAATGTGTTATATTGATTGGAGTGTTATATTTAAGAAAATTTCAAGTAGTTTTTTTTAATATTTTTGTGTGTGTTACATTAGAATATGTTACATTGAAGTTTTACGTTTGAAAAAAGCACACTAAAAAGTTTTTCAGTGTGTTGCAATGATTAGAGTGTTAAGTTTGAAAAGGGTACATTAATGAGTTTTTTTGTGTGTTACATTGGAGTGTTACGTTCTTATTCATAAGGTGGGATTTGTTTAATAAGGTGGAAAAATCCAAAATTTCTATACTACGGATTGCCCAAATATGTAATCTCACATTTAGAGAAACCCACTTTTATTCCTCAAAAATTAAATCCAAACGTATAAGTGACTACCATTTTATGTAATTTACACTTTAATAAAACATTTGGGTTCATAAAAAAGAAGAAGTGAAGATTAAAAAGTTCACAAGATCGCATTTTAAGATTTATTGGTGTTTCATCTTTTTTTTCAAAAACTTATTTTAAACCAATAATTTAAAAATTGAATGCCAAATGAAGCCTAACCCCCCGTCTCTCTAGGTTTTTTACAAATATATTTGGCATAGCCATTTTTTGGGGAGAGATTTTTTTTTTTAAGATCCCTGATATTAAATTTCATAGTATAAAAGACATCCAACATTTTATAGAGTCTAAGGTCCCTCAACATGGATACAGAGAAAATTTGATCCAGAGAATTTCTCTGGACTTCCTAAGGAAATTTTGGAAATTTCTCAAAGAAATTTTTTGCCTTTCCCAAAGAAATTCTAAGATTTTTCCAGAGAAATTCTATGCTTCGAGAAATTCTGGGAATTTCCCAGAGAAATTCTTTGCTCAAAGAAATTCTAAACCAGAGAAATTGATGCTATTATGACCAATTGAAGAAAACCAAATCCAG